GAGTTTCCCCTTCCAGGGCCTGGCTGCCAGGCGTCTGATGCTGCCAGGGTCTGTGGCCTCCCTCATCTCACTGTAATCACAGCACCGTCAGATCCCAGCTTTACTTAAAATTCTGATATTTTGTTCATTGTAGAGTTTTTTTTTTTGCATAAATTTTGATTTATTAAAATATTACCTTAAAATACTATTCGTATTTGTTACTGAGGTTTTTGGCACCCCCTTAAATTTTGTGTCTGAGGTAAGTGTCTCATTTGCCACCCGCCCCTAGCCATAGTCCTAATTCGGATGTCAGCCCTGGGAGACCCCGCAGACACATGACATGCAACCACCCTCACTTGTCCGAGGAGCTGTGAAGTCCAGCCAGGGCCAAGGCTGGCTCGTCAGGGCGGCATGGGCCTGGTGCTCTTTGCACCATGATAATCGGAGCTGAAGATTGTCCAGGCTTTCTCCAAAGGAGATGGTGACAAAGACTCTTTCTTGGCCCAAACACCACTCACACTACTCGGAGCTCTCTTCTTGACTAGGCCTGTCAAGCTCAGCCTATAAAGACTTGAACGAACATTAACACAGTTTCTAATAGCTCAGGGTCAGGTCCCTAGGATGACCCTAAGCCTCCCTTAAAGTGGCTGATTGAGAAAACTCTAGGAAGCCAAAGGAATGTGCTATTTATTCCAGCCAACATGTGAAGATGGCACCCTGTGTCTCCCAGTCTCTGTGGGAGGGTAGGAACCCAATTTCAATAAACACCACTTAGCAGACCCAGGTGGGTGTCACATGGACCAGCTCCCTTCCTCTATTTTGTAGTTTTCCACTTCCCTGACCCCACAGAGCCCCCCATCCCTATTCCCTCCATCCCCCTTTAAAACACTTAGTCACCTCTGTACAAATGCAAGTTGGGTTCAGTTCACGTGGGACACTTTTCCCTATTGTAAGATTATATTACTGATTAAAATCTGTCTTTACCACTTTAACTAGGGTCGGCTTTCTTTATCTTTAATAGTGGCTGCCTTTCAAAATGTGCCTATTATGAGAAAAGAACTGGGGTTCAAGGGCAATTTTATTGCATTAAGATGCACTGGGTTCTGGGTCTTCATCAATGCCTACAAACGTGAAGGCGTAAAGACAGGTCCTGTTTGCTGAGGCCCACAACGAGCAGCCAGAGGCAGGAGGAGGGGCTGCTACCCCAGTGTGCCTGGGAAGGCCACCTACTTGGAACGCCTTCCTCACTTGGGCCTCCATCCTGCCTCATCTGCCTAAGGACTTCAAGCGGCCCCCCACAGAGGCAGCCACCTCAGAAGTGGGAGTGGATAAGCTAGCCCTCACCCTCGCCATCAGCAGGCTGCCAGCAACTCTCTCAACCGTGTCACCTGCTCCTGTCCCACATGCCACAAACCTGGTGCTCCTATCACACCATCTCCAGCAGCCCCTGGACCACATCTAAGGAAGGTCTCTGCCTCTATCTGCCCCACCCCCCACAAAGAATGCTAAGATCTCCCCTCACCGTCCTCCCCTCCCCATCTCCACGGCCCTCCCTGGGGATTTCCCTGGCAGGGTGCCAATGGGACATGGGTTAGGTCAGGCCCAGAAGGGGCAACCACAGGGCTTTGGGATCCTGCCCATCTTGCTCAGGCTGGATTTATTACTTAGACTATAAAGGGTTAAGTCAACTGCCTTCAAATGACTAAATCCCTGGGGGAAGGAAGAGGAAGTGGCTAAAGATGCTCCTAAAAAGTTTTTTTGTTTTTTTTTTTTTTTAATAAAGGAAAAGAAACAAGAACTCTTCACAGACAAAGATAACCTTCCACCTTCCTTCCTACGGGGGTGATGGGCAGGACCACAACCCATACACTAATCCACTCGGGCCCCAAATCCCTTCCTGGGTTTCTTAAACCCATCCCAATCCCCTACTTTTTGTGGCCCAGAGAGAATGGAGTTATTTTAAGTAATCCTCATTTTATTTAAGGAGGGGCCACCCATTTCCAGGACCACCCCAGGCAGCCCTGCTGGTCCCACCTTTCCAGCTAGAGGTCAGTCAGAGCAACCTGCCAGCTCCATCAGAAACTTCTCTTCAGCAATTGACCTGTGGGGCTCTCTCAGCACCAGCCACTTCATATTGTAGCCTTTTCTGTCCCTCAGATCCCTGTACTTTGGAAACCCCTGAGGAGGAGGCAAGATTCACTTACACGTTACTCCTTCCTGCCATCTTCTCACGCACACTTGCATATCCCGGTGTATCCGCCTGATTGAGAAGTGAGCCTGTAGGTGATTTGTAACTAACAATAAAGTGCTTAAGTGTGAGACTGGCTTACTCATGCATTGAGCAGATTCAAGGTTATCCCCATATTAATGTCAGCTCACTCTTGCATTTCCATGAGATTTCCTGAGCAGAGTGAACTCTTTGCCATGGCCTGTGAGATTCTGTATCATATCCAGCCTCACACCTCATGCCTCCTGTCTCCTTTCTCACTTCACTCATCTCTCTGGCCTTCAGTCAGTCCCTGAGATATTTTCAACTCTTTCCTGATGCAAGGTCCTTGCCCCACAGCTCCTTCTTCCAGGAGGCCCCTTCCCCCAGACCTTTGTCTTGCTCTGTCTTCTGCTTCTGGACTCAGCTTAAAAATAACTTCTTCCTGGGGTGCCTGGGTGGCTCAGTCAGTTAAGCATCTGACTTTTGGTTTTGGCTCAGGTCATGATCTCACGGTTCGTGAGATTAAGCCCCGCGTTGGGCTCTGCACTAACAGCGTGGAGACTGCTTGGGATTCTCTCTCTCTTCTTATTCTTCTCTCTCTCTCTCTCAAACTAAATAAGTAAACTTGAAAACAAATAACTTCTTCCTGGTGCTGACTGGGAGGGCACTTAAGAGAGCCTTGGGGAGTGGAAGAGGGGGAAATATTCTGTTCGTGACCTACATGGAAGTTACAAGCTGTGTGCATGTGTAAAAACTCATTGAGCTGTCCACTTAAGATTTATAGACCTTATGTAAGAAAACCTAAAAAAGTAAAATCTAAAAACAGTTTCAACTTCTTCCTTGTCTCATTACTATAGTAGTAATTCCTGTTACTCTTGACCATGGCATGTGTGTCTCCATCCTGGAACAATAATTATATTCTTTGATTGTTTATTTGTAAGTTGTATCTCCTACTAGAATGTAAGCCTCACAACGACAGAGCCTCTGTCTATCTTGTTCACAGAGGCACCTTCCAGAGCATATCATAGTGCCTGTCACACAGTGGACACTAAAAACGTTTAGTGAAGGGGCGCCTGGGTGGCGCAGTCGGTTAAGCGTCCGACTTCAGCCAGGTCACGATCTCGCGTTCCGTGAGTTCGAGCCCCACGTCGGGCTCTGGGCTGATGGCTCAGAGCCTGGAGCCTGTTTCCGATTCTGTGTCTCCCTCCCTCTCTGCCCCTCCCCCATTCATGCTCTGTCTCTCTCTGTCCCAAAAATAAATAAACGTTGAAAAAAAAAAATTAAAAAAAAAAAAAAAAAGTTTAGTGAATGGAGAGGTGGGAGGATGAATAAAAAAGCTTGGATTTAATGATGGAGGAAACAATGGGCAGAGGAGGAATGTCCGAGGCTGGGAGGTCCCACTCCCACTCAGAAGAGAGTTGAGGGGTCTTATTCTGGAAGTCCACGATCTGGTTACCTCCCTGGAGACCCAACACCTGCATGTCTATACCTCATTGGGGTTGTCCTGGTCGGCATAGATGAGGAAGCCTGTGAAGAGGCTATCAGTCCAGTAAGGGTCGTAGAAAAGCCCATTCTGCTCTGAGTAGAAGATCTGCAGCCAGACCTCATCACCCTGCTTCAGAGCCAGGATGGTGGAGCCCGAGGCCACATCATGGTTGCCCGTGTTGGCATCGAAGGTCCGGATGCGGTACTGGCCATTGTGCACCAGGCCGATGGCCAGGTGCTTGTTGGCCAGGGTGATATCGTAGGTGAAGTAGTAGATCCCCGGCACACCACAGACGAACTTGCCACTGGATGCGTTGTAGTGGCCGCCCTCGTTCATCAGGATCTTGTCAAACTTGATGGGCAGCCTCTCCCTTGGGTAGCTCTTGGTCACTGCCACTGAGAAGGCAGACTTGGCGTGGCCACTGCCGCAGCTGCAGGGGCCTGGGAGGCCCGGCTCCCCCTTCCTGCCCTTAGGCCCCTTCTTTCCTGGTGTGCCGTGCTTCCCCGGGGCACCACTGACCCCCTTGGGGCCGCGAGGACCGGCCCGCCCAATGGCCCCGGCTTTGCCCTTTGGTCCTGGCTTTCCCCGGTTACCTGTCCGGCCAGGTGGACCTGGAAGACAGAGCAGCTGGTGTTATGGAGGGGCCTTCACAGAACTAGGCAGAGGCTGTGGGCCTTGGCTTTCCATCCTTGGAGCAGGAGCCTTTGGGTAATGGAAAGAGCAAGAAGGCTTTGGAGTCACATAGAAATGGATGCAAATCCTGCTGGTATAACCTGGGGCACTTCTCCCAGTCTTATCCGGAAAGTGGGAATGGTGATACTTGCCCTCCAGAACCACTGTAGATCAGGGCAAAAAAGAATAACTTATAACAGTTCACCCCTTTCCTTCTCCCTGCCTTCTAGGAAAGAGTCTGATTTGCCTGCCAGACCAGTCCTTCAATGGGCTGTGCTGGAAATGGGTTGACAAAAGAATTGGAAGAAGCCTCTTGACTTCAACATATCAATCTTAGTAAGAGCCCTGCCTAGTACACAAGGTCCCTGTCCATAGTGCAAGAGTTTAAGTGCAGCACTGTTTATAATAGCAAAACTAGGGACAACTAAATGCCTATCGAAAGAGAAATGATTCATGGGGCACCTGGGTGGCTCAGTTGGTTGAGCATCCGACTTCAGTTCAGGTCATGATCTCACAGTTCGTGAGTTTGAGCCCCACATCAGGTTCTCTGCTGTCAGCACAGAGCTTGCTTCAGATCTTCAGTCCCTGTCTCTCTGCCCTTCCCCGGCTTGTAAATGCTCTCTCTCTTCCCCCAAAATAAATAAACATTCAAAGAGAAATGATTCCAAAATTATGGTCTACCCATACTGTGCAATTCTATACAGGAGTTTTAAAAAAGTGAGGAGATTTATGTGTACTATTTGAAAACTTCTCTAAAGTACACTGTTGAGAGGAAAAAGCAGGTGACTGAAACTTTTTTGTTGAAAGGAAACCACAACACGAACTAGTTCTACAACCATTTAAGTGCATAGGAGAGTTGCTGGCCCATAGTAAACACTCACAGAATATAGTTGGCATATCCTGAAGAACATTCCCCAAGTAATGTTTCCCTGTAGAATGACCCTTGGTTTTTTATACCCAGATTTCATAACATGTGCATTTCTCTCAATACAGTATTTTTGGCTAATGATTATACAGGAAACATGTCTATTTATGTCCCCTAAATTCAATATATCATTTTAAACAAAACAAAAGTGGGTAAAGATTTGAGTCATATCTAAATACACTTGTATAATTGGTACAATTGGTAGACTGGCAGAATTGGGTGTAGGTGTTTGAAGTTTGCTGAATGTTAATCGAGGGCCTGCTTCTGAAGTTTGCTGGTGCCAGAAGTCATCCTAGTATTATTGTACGCAGGTGACTGTTTGTAACCACCAAATGAACTGGGTGATCAAAAAGCAATGCTGTAGGCATTTTTCATTCTAAAAAGGTACTTTGCTTCTTATATGCATATATGTAGGCATTTTACTGTGTCTTAAACTTTTGAGTTAACATGTAATGCATTTAAATTTTTCCTATTTTACGTAATTGGGAAATAGATTCCAAAAGAGCATTTTCTCACTGAAATTTCTCATTTAATTTTCAGGAGCAGATTGCTTATGTTAAGGGCCTGGCAATGAATGCCTGGTATTACTATGCACATATATAAATTATGTAGAAAAAGACCAGGAAGGATATACATCTATCCAATTAATAGTAATTACCCCTGGAAAGTGAGAAGAAGATGAGAAGGGTAGGAATTAAGGAGCTCTCTTGCTTTATTTGTATTGTTTGAATATATTACCATAAGAATTTATTTGTGTATTACTTGTAATTAAAAAAAATTTTACATGGGGAAAAAGTCAGGTTATAAAACTGTCCCATGAAAAAATAAAAATAAGCAAAACTTATTGCTTTAATAGAGGGAGAAAGGTGAGGAGGAATAAAGACTGAGTCATTTTGAATTGGAGATTTTGGGGTGAGACAAATAGATAAGAAAGCTTATCAGGAAGTTCTACAGTGTGTTATGTGGTGTACCTCCTTCTTGATACCTTTTCAAGAAACTTCAAGAAAAGCTGGTTTTACTTTTTAAGACCTTTTTGGAGATGGGTTTGTATGTGTATGTCAGGGAGAGGTGGTTGGATGATATCCTGTACTTGTCCCAGAGTGGCCCAGCTTTGCAGGTCAGGACTCTGTCTCTTAACACCACCTTCCTTGGCGTGTTGCCTTAATTCTCAGCAGAGACTCTCTGCATGGGCAGGAGAGATGGCCAAGCCTATATCCTCATGGCTCTTGATCAAGGAGAAAAAGTCAACAGCAGAGATACCCTCCCACCTCTGGGACCTGTAAGATGAATGTCAGGGAAAACTCGGTCTGGCCCTGCTTGGAGCACTAGTCCAGACTGAAGCTACCACTGGGGTATCCCATGGAATGGGATACCATGACATGAGTGCTTGACACACTGTGATACCTCCCCAAGTCAAAGCCATTACCATTATTTATATAGTTATTCTGTGGGGAAGGAGGTGCTTTGGAGGAGTTAATTTAGTATGGTAGGAGAAGGTCTAGATTTGGAGTCAGGTACCAGCCTATTACATGATCTCAGCAATCAATTAAGGGGAGATGACCATTTATTGTACATCTACTTGAGGCTGATGCCTCACACGTCATATTTTATCATCATCAGACCCCTGTGGGGTAGGTGCTGTTATCATCTCTATTTTAGAGATGAAGCAGCTGGGGAATGAAGAAAGGTTAACTAATTCACCAAAACAGGTCCCCAAGTTTGTTTCCAGAGTTCAGGTCTCGCAGCCATGACGTGCTGTTCTCAACTTAATCACCCTTGACCCTCAGTTTCCTCATCTGTAACATGGGGATAGTAAGAATACCTCCTTCATAGCATGGTATGGACAATCAGTGGAGCAGCATACTCAAAAGTGCTTTGTCAACGTTAAAATGCCATACAAATAAAAGTTATTATGATTCCCCTACTGCTTAAAACATACATTTAGGGATGTTGCTGACATTAAAAGTTCTGAGACAAAGAATGTCAAGGCTGAAAGGGCCTGTAGAGACTGTCCAGTCTGCTGGCTGCCTGGCATCTCCTCCTTCATGACTTCGTGTGGTCCCAGCAAGGCTGTCAGCCACAATGACCAACTCACCACCCACTCACACACACCAGGGGTGGGCACATGACCCAGTCCTGGAAGATCGTAGTACCTCACCTCCATGGCCAAAAGGATTGGTGGTCCGGGATACCTATACGATTTAGAAGGATTAGTCATGCTGAGATTTGCTCTGTGGATCAAACCATGAAGAGTTAGACTCGAGCCCATTGGTAGCCATTTCAAAACTTCCAGCCTTTGTGAAAACAAAACCCACACACACAGATAAGCAGAGCCTTGACAACAGCTTTGAGCTCCCAGACCCAGCCATTGCTGAAGCTTGGCTCCTGAACTTCCTGGTTGCATGAGCCAATAAATTCCATTCAAGGCTATGAATTGAGTTCTGTCACTTGCAGCCAAAGGTGTTCTGAATCATATATCAGGAGACTTGCTTAAAGCAACTCAGCAAGTCAATGGTGCGGCTGGCGAAGGAACACAAGATCTGATACCTACTGTTCCTTTCAGGAGAATACACTGCTCTGTTTTTTAAAAAGACATTAATTTGGTTTATAATGAAATGGGATTCACACCGGTTTTCATAACTAAACTCCCTCTGTGCCAGAGGATGTCAACCCCAGGCAGGAATAGGAGAGACAGGCACTGGGCCTCTTACCTTCCTCTCCGCTGTCCCCCCGGTCCCCATCCTGGCCATCCTGGCCATCTTTTCCAGGAAAGCCCATTCTTCCCACCATTCCTGAGGGCCCTGGGGCTCCCGGGGGGCCAGGCGGGCCTTGGGGGCCAGGCAGGCTGCAGACAAGTTGAGGGGAGCCCTTTTGGAAGTCCCTGCGGGCGAAGGCACCAAGCAGCGGGTCAGCTGCACAAGGGAGGGCACAGGCCAAGAATACCCAAGGGATCATGGTGGTCACCTGTGGAAGGCAAAAGAGCTGTGAGCTGATTGGTGGTCAGTCAGAAAGGAAACCAGGGGAGGAGGGGAGGCGGCCGGAAGAGACTCTCTCTTCCATCATATACAAGTGGCTGGACAGTGTTCTCATGTCTTGAGGACATATTTGGATGAACCGAGTCACAGACGCAGAATACACTTTGGAGAAGTCTTGGGGGTGAGGCACTCATCATCGCACTGCTGTCCTTCAGTGTAGCTGAAACAGAGGTAGGACCTAATGGCCCAGTCAGGCCGATTGGGAGGAGCAGTGGGCGGAAAGAAACAAGCTAGGATTTCATTCGAGTCCGTGGCACAAGTAGAAATACTTTGAATTGTAGGTGATGATTTGCAACTATGCTGCTTCTCCAGGGGGACTCAGGGTAGCACATGGCCGGGTGAGCACTGAGGCTCTGGTTCTGAGTCAAGGTGCCCCAGACCCGAGCAGCACGGCAGGTCATGGTAGCAGCCTCTCTTCTAAGTGTTTCCTGCCACCAGGCATGGGCTAAGTGCTTTCTGTACGTTACTTACCTCAGAGCATCCTTACCAGAGAGACACAGGTGAGGCAGTGGATGCCCAGAAATTTTAACAACAAGCCTAACTCCTGCAATTAGCACGTGTCAGGGCTGGGGTTTGAGCCAGACGGGCCAGATTCACAGTGTGTGCCCCTTTGCTGCAGGCTATAATGCATACTTTTTTTTTTTTTTTTTAAGAATTAAATGAAGGGACACCTGGGTGGCTCAGTCAGTTAAACGTCCAACTTTAACTCACGTCATGATCTCGTGGTTTGTGAGTTGGAGCTCCACCTTGGGCTCTGTGCTGACAGCTCAGAGCCTGGAGCCTGCTTCGGATTCTGTGTCTCCCTCTTTCTCTACCCCTCCCCAGCCTGTGCTCTGTCTGTCTCTCTCTCAAAAATAAACATTAAAAAATTAAAAAAAGAATTAAGTGAAATAATACACTTACATTGTTTGTGAAGTCAAATAATATTATAAGTCACACACAGCATAAAACTGTGATCTCCAGTCCTACCTATCCTTAACCTCACACCCTACCCCAAATCCTTTCAGCTATTTCTTCTTGTGTATATGGTTTTTTATTTATCAAAAAAAGTTTTTATTTTTATTTAAAGACTATTTTAAATTTTTAAATGTTTATTTATTTTGAGAGAGTGAGCAAGCGAGCACGAGCAGGGGAGAGGCAGAGAGAGGAGGGAGAAAGAGAGATTCCAAGCAGGCTCTGTGCTGCCAGCCCCCAGTGTGGGGCTCGAAATCACGAACCTGAGCCAAAATTAAGAATCGGTTGCTTAAGTGACTGAGCCATCCAGGCACCCCCCCGCAAAAGTTTTTAATTAAGTAGGCAGCACGCCCAACATGGGGCTTGAACTCACAACCCTGAGATCAAGAGTTGCATGCTCTATCGACTGAGCCAGTCAGGTGCCCCTTATTTATCAATTTTAGACATTATCTTCTGAATTTCATTTATGATAGATGAAGAATATGCCCCCTTCCAACACCCTAGCCCCGATTTCTTCTCCCTCATGTAGTTAAAATATAATTTGTGATAAAATCAAAATTTACACTCTGGATTATTATGAGTATTGTTTATTGCTAAGCTAAGCACTGTACTATAATTATATGTCCTTTCTTGTACATTTTTTCCTTACTGGAGATATTAACTTAATTTTTTCTTTGGCTTAGTTCCCTAAGTCACTATTTTCCACACTATCAAATATATCAGATAATTTGTTCCATTTATTTCCCTGATGATAGAAGTCCCGGAGCCCCCCATCCTCCTGTTTGGATCCCCACACATGCTAACCAGTTGCCATCCTAGCTTCTTCTTTATGATCATTGTGGAGATCGTCTTTGCCTCTCTCCTGGGTTATATCTCCTGTTTTAGGAATCCTAGGTCTTTCTCTCTTTGTTTAATTAAAAACAATTTTTAAAAAATCCCTCAGTTTGGTTGCACCCATCCTGTAAGAGCTTCCTGGAAAAGTGGTATGGGAAGTCATCTTTAAAGAAATGTTACAAGTCTCAATGTATTTTGATTTTGCACTGTGTCCTCAAGGCTGGTGGCTGCAGTAGCATGATCACCAGAAGCCAGAGTGTTATATGCTCGGAAATGATGCACTCCCAGACCCACACGTAAAGACACAGATGCTTTGGTCCAGAGCAGGAATAAGCAACTTGACCAAGATCTCTCAATAAATTGGCTCGGTCACTTTGCAATCAACAGCCTCTCTCTCAAGAACGAACTTTCCAGGCATGATTTCTTCCCGTGGGGATGAGCTCCAAAGTGTAGCTTGCTTTGTCACCTTAGGCAAGACCTCTTCCCTCTCTGGGTCTGTTTTCCCACCTGAGCAATAAGGGGTTTGAACTAGGTCAGTGGTTCCCACACTTCTGCGTGGGTCAGACTCACCTGGAGGGCTTGTTTAAACCTGGCTTGCTGGGCCTCGCCCCCAGGGTTTATGATTCAGTAGGTCTGGGCTGGGGCTGGAGGATTTGCATTATAAATGAGTATCTGAGTGATGCTGCTGCTGGTAGTTCAGGGACCCACTTTGAGAATCACTAGACTAGATGGTCTCTCAGGTCTCTTCACCTCTGGTGCTGAGCCTTTCAGACTTCAACCTGCCCTCTCGCAGATATGTAACCCTTGCTGGCTCCACTGTGACTGCACTGCTTTGGGCTACGTAACCAGAGCCTTCAAACAACAGGTGCTGTGGTGCTGGCAGGCCCCCTCTCCTCCTGGGCCCTCAACCTCCCTTTCCTTCCAACCTTGCTTTGCCCTGGTCCTAGGAGCCTGTCCAGACTTCAGGCTGCCTCTGGAAACAGGCTGACTCTACCTGTCCTCCTGGCCCCTCCAGAATCCTTAACCCTGGGGACAGATGAAGGGGAGAGAAAACCAGGCCTCTTCTGCCAGGGAGAGGAGGGGAGACCACAGTGCTGTACTGCCCCAGATGCAGGGGCTGTTCTAGTTCCAGCCAAGGCTCACCTTGTTTGGACCTCAGATGGTTTCTCTAGATAGGTGTCATAATGGGGCCCTGGCCAGGGAGAGGTGATTTAGTACTAGATGCTGTTTTCAATAACATTATGTCATATAATAACAAAGTTATTGTCTTTAAAATGTCTTTAATCCTGATTAAGTCAAGAAAATTATTTCAGTCTGGTAAATTATTTCACTATCTTTAATGCCTCCCTAGCCCTTTCTAGTAACCCTTTTTAATCAAGAGCACTGTTATCTGTGGCATTGCGCACCCGTTCTTAAAGACTCTCGGGCAGGCCCTCTCCCCCACCCCCACCCCCCCCACCAAATATGCACAGAGACCTTGGAAAGCCCCAGACAGGAGCACAGCACCAAGGACCCTGGGGAAGGGCATCTGCTGGAATGGAGGGAAGGCCTGAGGCCCCACATGGAGAAGGAGAACTGGACTGGGGCACAGGTGAGCTCTGGGCAACTTGTCTCCAAGAAGGGGGAAAAGCAAGACTTAGAGAGCGAGTGTAAGAGAGTGTTACAATCAAAACTTCCACCTGGGCACCAGGACTCATGAGAGGCTGTATGCTAAATGGAGTGGTCAGGCCAAAGCAAAGAATCGACAAAGGAACAGTGTGAGCCCACTCCATGACTCCTGGTGCTCTTGGCAGATCAAGGATTTAAAAATATGACCTGTGTCCCTGGGAGGGGGAGGGAGAGTGGCCGTGCCTCTGAGGCCTGTGTGAGAAAGCTGGAAGGTGAGAGACTGGCTGGACAAAAGGGGAAAGAGAGCATGGGAAGGGGGCCAATTGCCTTCTCGTCTCTCCAGGAGATGGAAGGCAGTAGACATTCCCCAGTGGGAGCCAGCCTGGGCCAGAGGGGTCTGGACAGAAAGTGAGGGGCCCCAGCAGTGATAACCATGCAGGGCAGACACCAGAAAGCCGGAGGCCAAGGGCGAGGCCTGGACTTGCCAACAAACAGAGAATGTGTGTGCCCGCTTCAGGGCTGTTACAGTCAGAGTCCAATATAGCAACCCCAGGGAGCCAGCAAAAGGCACCCCTGAAAGAGGCAGCTTCAATGTCTGCCAGGCCCAGAGAGGCAGAGCATTTCAGTCCCTGTCTCTGCCAAGAAGCATGAAGAGCCTTCCTGCTTCCTGTCCCCTTATCTCTCCTTCCTTCAGCCTGGAAAGGGGTGAGCTGAGAAAGGGAGCGGATAGCCCTGCCAGCTTCACATCTTTGCTGAGGAAGTGTCACCCTTGAATAAAGATTGAAGATTGGATTTGATGGGAGTGGATTGCCAGGGCTTCCCTGGCTTCATCACAAAGGGGCAGAGGAGACAAAAATTAAGTTACAGTTTGATGTGCCTCTGGTGTCACATGTACTCAACATGGTTGGCCTAAATGACAGTAGAGGAGGTTGGCAGACCTGGTGAACACGCTGGAAGTGTCATATGCATGATGTACTTTCAGAGAACCGTGTCCCCAACGCTCCCAGGCCCCAGGTATCTCCATCTCCTCTCCTGGTCTGCTTGATGAGAGTCTTGGAAAACTGTCATTGTTACTTGTGAGCTGTGACACATTTGGGCGCCCACAAGAGAAACTCAATTCTCAAAGCAGGTTTGTAATGGTTTGGAAAAGTTGCAACTGCAAACATTTTGGACCAGGGACAGGGAGGAAGGAAGTGGGTGGGAGTGAGTCTCCCAGAGTCATGCAAACAGCTAGATGAAGAAAGGCAGGAAGGAGAGACAGCTAGATGAGAGAGGAAGGAGAGAGAGGAAGCATCTGTTTCAGTTTGCAGCCCCCTTCTCTCTTCTGATGATCACTCTCAGCCATACAAGCCCAGAAAGAGGGAGCAGGGTCTGCTGTCCTGCCTACCTCTGCCTCTTTGGACAACAGGGGATCTTGCTCGATGACAGCTGGCCCAGAGCAGGCCCCAGTGGCTGGGTGGAGCAGCAGGGCTCTGGAACAGGCAGGGAGGAAGGGATTTCTCAGAGCTGGAGGCTGGTGGTTCCCGCAGTCTGAGCCAGGAACTGTTTTGGAAATGAAGGCGGGGAGACTAGATTCTGGAGGGAGAGGAGAGACTCTTTGCCTCTAGCACACCTCCAAGAAAAACAAGGCTCCAAAAAGTCCTGCTCCCAGACAGTGCTCTCACCCTCCTGAGTCTGGTCCCCATGCCTACTCTCCACACTATGGTGGTAAGCAAACCTGGGGGCTAGATGCTTGGAGGGGAGCCAGAGCCCCCCAAAGAATCCAGATAGGTTACCTCTTCCAAGCTCTTTTAAATAAATTTAGAAACTTGAGGAGGGCCCCAACAGACCAACCCCTTTAGTTACAGACAGGGAAACTGAGGCAGAGGTAAACTGACTTTATTAGACACCTACAATGTTCCAGGCACTGTGTGAGGCTCTTTGCATGAATTATTTTCTTTGGCATTTATAATAAATTCTATGAGGGTGATAAAGTTATTGTGCCATTTTTCAGAGGAAGAAACAGAGGCTTCGAGAAGTGAAATTATTTACCCAAAGTCACACAATTGGAGCAACGGGGACTACGTTCAAACCCATGTCTGAGGGATTCTGAAGACTACACTTCATCTATTACACCTCTCTCCCTTCCCCCTGCTATTTTTGTGTTTTATATAAGAGGAAACTGAAACTCAGAGAGGCTAATTTGCTCATATTTACACAACTAGTTCATGGCAGAAGTTATATTTGAACTTGGGTTTGGCTGACCCTAATGCCCAAATGCTTTCCATTATGTCAGCATTTCTTAGATTTTCCTCCTAAATATTCCGAATCACAGAGGAGACCTTGAAGCATTTGCCAAAGCCACACATAGCAATGGAGAGATTTCTTTCATATCAGTTTACACACACACACACACACACACACACACACACACACACACACACATACACACACACACCCCTGTAAACACACACATACACATATACACCTGTGTATATATAATACATGACTGAAAATGTAGAAGTGATGCTTTTTCTCCTCAGGATACTTGAGGAAATCAATGCTTGGGAAAAACCTCTTGTCCTTTGAGAGGCCCACACGTGGCTTAGTCAAGGTGATGGGGTGGGGGTTGGGGGTCCTTGGCCCTGACATCAACAAGTCCCTTTGGAGTGTTAATAGGGTGTTCCCATGAGCTGAACCAAAAAATCAGCACAAAGCACAGCCCCAGCCCCAGCGGCTCAGTCCTTGCTTAATCCCAGCAGGAGCCTCCTCGCTGGTCTCTTGCTTCCCTCCACGCCCTCCCCCACCCCCAAAACGTACTCACCATGTGAAGCCAGAAGGACTGTTCAAAACCATAACTCAGCCACATCACTTCCTAGGGTCTTACTCCAGTTGTTGCCGGCTGCAAATAGCAAACATTGGAAACCCTGACGTGGCCCACAAGGCCCTAAATGACCTGGTCTTTGCTGTCACCGCCCCCGTCCCAGCTCCCCCTGCCTCTCCTGCTCCCCCTTGCCTAGCCACCCCACCTCCTTTAGGCCAAGCTCTGTTCTGCCAGCCTAGGAGCCGCACCCTGTTGGCTCCCTGGTTCTTTATTCCTCGTGTTTCAGCTTAAATGTCACTTCCTCCAAGGCCTTCCCTGACATGCCCTCTCAGACAGCTCTCCCTCTGGACTTCAGCTCGTCTGTGTCTTTCTAGCCCTTACAACAACGCATGTGTATTCATTGTGTTTGCTTGTTAACCTGCTTACTGGGCCTGTTTTCTCTCTTAGTAAAGTGGAAACCCCATGGGAGCAGGGACCCCAGCTGGTCCTGCTATATCCCCAGGTCTTCCAACTTCCTTGCACACAGGGAGTGTTGGAGAAATCTTTTCCTGATTAATGAGTGAGATCCACACTCTACCCTCAAGAAAATCCACAGCAAGGAGAAGACAAGGCGATGGACTAAATCCAAAAGGAGTCCTTGGATTCAAAAACGTTTTCTCCCTTTCTCAGTTTTTCCAACCCAAACCAGATCTCATTCTAATCCCTTGTTCCTCCTGACCTCCTAAAGCACAGGGGGCCCCCACCCTCACTCTGGGGAGAGAGCTTGCAGAACATTTTACACACAGCAGGTGTTCCATAAGTATCTGTTCAATTGATCAGAGAGAAAAAAAGTATTGGTTCTTCCTCACCTTTTTAAAAGCTATCTTAGTTCCTAAATTCTCCTTTCTGGTGGGAGCTGAGTAAGAAGGCTGCATGACAGTCTTCCTGTCGTAGAAAAAAAGATACATTAGTAGGTCAACCTCCCAGAATGAAATCATGAGGTACTAAACTTGGATGAAGTTCTTCAGTCTGGTTTTAATTTGCTCAGTCCCTGGGCTTCTCATCTCTCAGTTAAGTCACCAAAGATTCAGATACACATGTTCTAGGAAAACACTAGGAGCTAATGTAGGGGGATGAGCCTTCCTCCTTTTTTCTGCCCTTGGCCCCCAGGACATCAGCCCTTGGTTCACTCCCAAGGGCCCTCAGCCCAGACTGTGCCGAGAAAAGGGCCACAAGTGGGGACATCGGTGTCCTGCTGACCACACCGGAGTGGGACACTGTCCTGAGCGTTTAGCGAGGCTGCTGAATTCTGAGTCATCTTGCCTGGGAGACAGGAAGATACATATTATGCTTAAATAAATCTGGCCTGTTGGTTGTCAGGTTTTGACACACTGACAGGTAGTGGTAGTAATACACTCTGCAATTAAGAGCAACGGGAAACCAGGGGCAACTGGGTGGCTCATCGGTTAAGTTTCCAAGTTTGGCTCAGGTCATTATTTCATGGTTCATAGGTTCCAGCCCCGTATCAGACTCTCTGTTCTCAGCAAAGAGCGAGCTGTGGATCATCTCTCTCTGTCTTTGTCTCTGTCTGTCTGTCTGTCTCTCTCTCTGAATAGACATTAAAAAACAAGCCATGGGAAACCCACCCACTTAGTTTTTCAACTATCTAATGGAAGTAATAATATATCCAACTCCTGGAGTTTTATAGGAACAATGAGGTGCCGTACTCAAATCTTTGAGCCCAGTGTGCAGACCCTAACTGTTCAGCAGTTGAAGAGAACTTTGCCCCAACCTTAACTTCCTTCCTGTGAGCTCTGCCCCAACCCTAACCTCCTCCCTGTGAGCTCTGCCCCAACCCTAACCTCCTCCCTGTGAAGTCCACAGACAGTTGCCTGCCTCATCCTTCAAGGTTCAGTTGTACTACTGTCTCCTCAGAGAGACCTGCCTGGTCGCAGAACGAAAATATCTCACCCACCTCTGGTTTGCTTTTCCTTGTGATTATTGTGATTATATTGGCTTCTCGACCCACTAACTGTGTCTTCCCGCTGGTGTGGAAGGTCCAGGAAAGCAAGGCCCTGCTTGTCTTGCTCTTTATTATGTTACCAGAGCCCAGCACTGTGCCTGCCCCGCACATAGGACGTGCTCAGCCCAGAGTTGTTCCACAGCCTGAACAAAACACTCCTAATCAGGGGCAACAGGATCACAACTGTCATTTGCTTTGTGCAGATGACAAAGCCACACTTGGCCAGTGAAGGAAATAGGGAGAGATGACCGGTTTTGGATCGGAAGATGTGGGTCCCAGCCCTAGTCTTGTAACTTACTGGTTATGTGACCATAGGAAGTCATGTCCTTGTATTTGAGCTTCCATTGCCTCACCTATAAAATGGAGGTAGTAACACTCACACTGTCTGCCTTACAGCGCTGTTCTGAGAATCAAACAAGGTAGCGAATGTTGAAAGCAAACATGATACCAAAGTTAGAGCCCGAAGTTGTAATTGCCACCGCCTGTCTCTGAACTAAGAGCAAGCAGTTCCGACCTCCCACTAGGAGCCCCTGGAGTGTTTGGGGGAGTTCTAGGCCGGGGAGGGTATGTGAATCCCACCCAGCTAGCAATTCTCCTAGACTCTGGGGTTAAAAGGGAAGGGCTGGTGGCTGCAATGGGGTGGGGCTTGCTTGAGGCTGAAGCTCCCTGAAACTTCCCTTTGATGGGAGTGAGAATTCTATAATGAAAAACACCCCATGCCCTCCCTGAATTCCAGGAAGCAAATTGCAAACAGCCCTCTCCAGCTTCTCCGAAAAGCTGACAGACGGCCTGGAGGAGAGGGGCTGGCAGCAGCTCTGCACACGGTGCTCACAGAAAAGGCCCCTTTCCTGGGATTTGGAAGCACTCCAGCAGCCAGAGCCTAACGCAGAAGGTTAAAAGGTATGGGGTCCACTTGCCAAGAAGCCCCAGAAACTATTTTATCTGCTGTTTTTTTCCTCCTCCACTCCCCGCTTCTGGCTCAGTGTAGAAAAAGAGATCCGAGGACAAAGCGCGACCTAATGAGATCCCAGGGGCCAGGATCTCGCAGGGCTTGCCCTGCCAAAGGCACACGGGAAGTCAGCCTGGTGACCACTGTGCTCACACCAGAGGTAGACCTTCTGCTATACACACCCAAGCCCTTGCAAACCAACCAACATGGCATGTGATGTGACGTGGGGGGCAAGGGGCCTGCCCGCGACCCCGGGTCCCCGGCTGCTTCACATTGGGCCTCAGCTGCCTGTGCGATGAGGGCACAAAGCCATCAACTTTGGAGCTGCCCACAGTTGTTTTCTGCCATGGAGACCAAGGACTCCAGTGAGCTAGAAGAATGCAGCTGATGTGCCAGATGTGAGGGGAGGGAAGGAGGCCTGAGGGTGTTCCGAGCCCTGTATCCAGCTTGTCCTGAGGCCAGCCTTCAAGTGGCAGGCCGGAGTGCCGGGAAGCGTGTTTGAGCAGCGCTATCCAGTAGGAATATGATGTGTGGCCACCGTTCAGAATGGGTCTCATTGCCATGTTCAAAAGGTAAAAAGTAGCAGTGAAATTAATTTTAATATTTTATGTAGCCTAACAGATCTCAAATATCATCTCAACATGTAATCAGTGTAAAAATTATTAATGAGGCATTTCATATTTGTAAACTAGCACACAGTGTTGGAGTCCCGGTGTGTATTTTACACTTGCAGCACATCTGAACTCAGACTGGCCACATTTCAAGTGCTCACCTGCCACGTGGTGGCTACTGTATCAGCTCAATACACAGCCGCTTGAGTTGAGATCCCATGAACCAGCTGTGGGACCTGTTACATATTACTTCTTCTATCTCTCTCAGCCTCCTCCTCTCCAAAATGGGGACAATAATAATAGTACCTACCTTAGAAGGTTGTTATGAGGTTAGAATGTTCCTAGAACAACGCTTGGCATGTGATAAGGGATACAAGAGCATTAGCTATTATTGTTATTTCTTCTCCTTCTGAAGATCAAACAAGATAATGGATATTGAAAATAAAGCATGACTCAAAAATTAAGACCTTGTTTAAAATTGTAATTGTCACCAACTGCAACTGAACTCATGAAGAAAAACAGTCCTGACCTCTGAGTCCTGTGGCATTTCAGGCGGAGCCCCTGCCTTCTTCTATTTCTCCATTTTCATTTAAGGTGGTTTGTGTTGTGTTTCTGTCAGTTGCCACCAAAAGAGAGGAGGCTTGACCTTTGCTCCCGCCCTTGCATTGTGTCCTGAGGGAGGGATGGGGCTGTCTGCCTTGGCCCCATGTCACTGAGCGATCTGGTGTGTTCATGCTCCGTAATACAAAGAGGTGAATCGATGGGATAGTGCTCAGCTCATCAAGTGACAGGAGGCCAAATGGGGTGTCAGGTGCTTGGTACCATGGCTTGGCACATGGATGCTCAGTAAATGGTGTCACTTACTCTTATCGCCTACGAGGCCAGACACTGAGGTTCCGGAGATGAAAAGATGTGACTGTCACTCTCATAGGGCACATGGTGTGGTTATACTGAGGGTCCAGCCTGGCACACCTGTGTGATCATTTGGAAAGCAAGCCTTGAACCTCCATTGTCTTTAAAACAAGCTATCTCTCCAAAGGGCATCCAGAACCATGCAGAAGGCAAGGGAAGGAAATTTGGGGGCTAGATGATCCCTTGGAATAGTATAGAAGGCACCACACTTGAAGACCCAGGAGCTGAGGGAGAGGAACAAATTCTGAACTCTGAAGGGCTAGGGAGGAAAGGCCAAGTTGTCCTTGACTTCTCTGGGCTTTCTGTCTCCATGGAGTTAGTCCCAGTCAGGCCCTGACAGGTATTCACAGTAACTCTAAAGACCTGACACGGGGCTGGCCTTCAAGAAGCACAGAGCTGGTCTGGTGCTTAGGAGTCATGTTATAGATGTTTGACCTTTGTTTTTTAACCCCTCTGGGCCTCAGTTTCCTTATGTGTAAAATGGAAAAAAACATACTGCATGGTCTTGTTTAAACCATTTGAATTTGAAAAAGCATGATAGAAAAATATCTATTGTTTCATTTTATGTGTAAAATCTGAAATAATTCAAAATCCCCAAATTAAAAGTTTGTCAAGAACCCTGGAAGGCAGTGTGAATTGTAAATTGTAAATTGTAAACCGTGCTTCTGCCAGAGCCACATGACAAGCATTATTCTAATAGGTAAACAGAAATATCTGCATTTTGAGTTACATAAGTTTGAATTGTTTGAGGTCTTTAGGCATGTCTCCCTGAGTTATTAGATCTCTCATACCTCTCTGGTAGAATAATTGTGAACATCAAATGAGATAATGCAGTAACCAGGCGACAGTAAGCACTCCTTAATGGTAGTAGTATTCTGATACAATGATAATAAGTGAAAACAATGTGAGATACGATATAACGATATTATGGGAGGCTAACTGAGCAGACCTGGGTCTTCTGCTTCCTCCTCTGTAAAGTGTGAGCATGGGGAGTTGAACGATTGGGAACTTTGGGGTAAACAGCTGGAAGGCAGTCATAACAGCTGATATGATTTTACAACAAAGCACAAATGCAAAGGTCCAGGATTTCTGTATGTGTGACCTACTTTAAAGTTTATTTATTTATTTTAAGAGGGAGAGAGAGCAAGAGTGAGAGCGAGAGAGCACAGGCACACAAGTGAAGGAGGGGCAGAGAGAGACACACACAGAATCCGAAGGAGGCTCCAGGGTCTGAGCTGTCAGCATAGAGCTCGACACTGGGCTCAAACCCACGAACCACGAGATCATGACCTGAGCTGAAGTCGGACACTTAACCCACTGAGCCACCCAGCTGCCCCTATGCGTAACCTACTTTAAACAGGATTATAAACTTCGAATTTACTCATTCAGCAAACAGCTCTTTATTAACACTGCAGTGTGCACTGACCTCTGGTTGGAAGGCATTAAAAAGCTAGGGAGGAATGTGGCACCTGGGTGGCTCAGTCTGTTGAGCGGCTCAGGTTATGGTTTCGGCTCAGGTCATGATCCCAGGGCCTGCTTGGGTTTCTCTCTCTTTCTCTCTCTGCCCCTCCCCACCCCCTTTCAAAATGGATACATAAAACTTAAAAAAGTAAAAATAAAAAAGCTAGGGAGGATGGCCCTGCCACTGAGGGAATGATAATCTAGACCCGAGGCTTATCGGTGGCCTTAGGTAAACCACTGACTGATGCTTTTTTGGTTTTGTTTTTCACTTGAAATTGTTGTCAGTGTAAACCGTGGGAGGTCTTATCTTAAAATCAAGATTTCTGGGCAAGGGCATCAGAGTCTGGCTGGAGCCTGATGCCTGCAAGGGAATGCTCTCTCACCGGCACGAGCTGCCCTGCCTTCTGCCTGAGCACCAGATCTACACCTGTGGCAAGAAATACGGGCAGCTGGCCTGCACCTCCCCGAACTGCATATCATGCCCAGCACCAAGAACCCATCCCAGCTGTTGTGCAAACTCACCCTGCAGCACATCAACAAGTCCCTGGAGCACCTGTTCAGGCCTACCCAGTGCCAGAGGTACCAGAGAGCTGTGAGAAGAGTGCCAGGAGCAGCGCATGGAATGTGTGCCCGTCTGCCTGCCTCTTGCACAAAAGGAAAAGGAGAGAGACCAGATGCATAGCTCCAAGCCACCCCGTCCGAGAGAAGCCTTCTGGGAACCCATGTCCAGTGATCACGGAGCAGCTGTGAGCGACAGCGAGGACAGCATGACACACCTGCACCTGCCTGAGTTGTTCACCAGAAAGGACCTGGGAGGGACTGAGCATGGGGACAGCACCGACGACTTTTTGCCAGAGGAGGAGGGTGAGAAGCCAAGGAATCCAGGGGAGAAGAGCCCTGGGGCCAGAGAAGAGATGGAAGTAGATAGGGACAGGGTTCTCAAGCACTGGGAGAAGAGCTCAATGGAAGCTCAATGGGCTCACGGAAGTTCAAAAGTCATCACCATAAACTTGGGGCACCTGGGGTGGCTTGGTTGGTTGAGCCTCCCCAACATTGGCTCAGGTCACGATCTCACAGTTCATGAGTTTGAGCTCCACATCAGGCTCTGTGCTGTCAGCGTGGAGCCTGCTTCAGATCTTCTGTCCCCCTCTCTCTCTGCCCCCCCCCCATCTTGTTCTCTCTCTCTCTCTGTCTCTCTGTCTCTCTCAAAAATAATTAAACATTAAAAAAATATTTAAAAAGCCATCACCATAAACCTAAGAGCTTCAGCACTTTTATTTTTTTTTTTAATTTTTTTTTCAACGTTTTTATTTATTTTTGGGACAGAGAGAGACAGAGCATGAACGGGGGAGGGGCAGAGAGAGAGGGAGACACAGAATCGGAAACAGGCTCCAGGCTCCGAGCCATCAGCCCAGAGCCTGACGCGGGGCTCGAACTCACCGACCGCAAGATCGTGACCTGGCTGAAGTCAGACGCTTAACCGACTGCGCCACCCAGGCGCCCCGCTTCAGCACTTTTAAACAGGTTAATGAAAGGTTGTTGGAGAAAGCAAAAAATAAAAAATAAATCAAGATTTCCAGGTGTTCTTGAGAATCTGGATTATTTCCTTGAAAAACATTTGGCAGGGCACCAATTGACTGCCCTTTGAGATGAAGTGTTACGGGCTGAAATGTGTTCCCCCAAATTCATATGTTGAAGTCCTAGCCCCCAGAACCTCAGAATGGGGCTATATATTTGGGGATTGGGCCTTTAAAGAGGTAAAGGAAAATAAAGTCCTACGGATGGGCCCTAATCCACTATGACTGGCATCCTTATAAGGAGATTAGGACACAGCACACTGAGGTATGACCATGTGAGGGACAGAGAGAAGGTGGCCATCTGCGAGTCAAGGGGAGAGGCCTCAGAAGGAACCAGACTGGCCCTCACCTTGATCGTGGACTTCTAGCCTCTGGAACTCTGAGAATAACTTTCTGTTAAGTCACCTGTCTGTGGTATTGTGATGGCCGCCCTAGCAGACCACTACATAGGACCTACATTCTGTGCCCACAGTCCTTGCCACTCCCAAACGACATGCATTCTGCTTACTTCGGTGTCACACACGGCCCCTGCTGGCATCTGAGCTGGCAACCTGTGGCCTAGAGGAAAAGGGTGTTCTCCATGTATGTTATGTGTTCTGATTTCAAAGCTTTGATGTTCCTTTTTTCCTTTTACTGTCTTTACACTTCAGTAAGGCTAATACTATCATCCTCACTTGGCAGAAGAGAAAACAGGGCTCAGAAAAGTGAAGTCATTTTTTCCCAGTTAAAGCTGGGAGGGGACCCAAGCCTGCTGACTCAGGGACCAGGGCTCATGTCCCTCTACCATGCGCTGGGCACAGGACCCATGAGCATAAAGCCTTAACTAACAGGGCAGCTATGTGTGTGTATGTGTGTGTGTGCGCACATGCATGTGTGTGTTAATAGAGGTAAGCCATTCACAGCAATGCACAAATCCAAGGAGGATTATTTCCTTGGAAAAAGACTTGGCATAGAATTCCTTTCAAAAGTAAACCTAGAATAGAATTTGAGCCGAAATCTGCTTTATGCAGGAGTTCATCTCACAGAGGCAAACCCGGCTGGCAAGCCTCTGATGGGGGAAGGGTGAGGGAAGCCGTGAGCGTGTACATGGACTATCAGCCTATGCTGAACATTTGGGAGCAGACAGCACTAGAGCCTGGTACTGTAGGAAGGAAGGTTCAGTCCCCTATGTCCAATCAACGGATGAGGAGGAGCAAGATAGGGAAGAAGAGGGATTTGCCGAGAAAGCAGTCACTTCCTGGGGGAACCTGCTGACTATTTGATGGAGGCAGAATAGCTTCAGAGATGACCCCAGACTTGTGGAAGAGACCTCAATTTACTCGTACAATGACACACTGTGATGCCTTTATGAGAATAAAGTAAGTCCAGACGTGCAGATGGAAAGACGGCCAACATACACAAAGTGAAAAAGGCAAGTTGCAGCATGGACTGTAAAGGATGATTCTCCTTGAGCTAAAAAAAAAAAAAAAAGGGACACACACACACACACACACAGAATTTGTGAAAGGACACAGCTTCTTGATAAACAGGTTACCTCTCAGAATTAGGAGCAGGTGTGTGGGCTTTTACTTTTCACCCCCCCCCCCCTTTGTTGTACTGTCTGAATTGTGATGAGCGTTGTTAGTTTTATGTCATTTAAAACAAAATGTAACCCTAACATTTAAGGATCAGAAGGTAGGCAAGTTTGGTGTCCCTGCTAGGAGATGGGGAGAAGTCAGACATTTGGGAAGAAGCAAACTCAGTGGCACACTTGATACGTCAGAATGAAGGGTAGTAGTGATGTTCTGAGAGGTGTGGGGGGTCTGAGGAGTTAGCAGTTGGAAGTGGACTTAATGGATACAATTACCAGATAACAGAGTAAAACAGGAAAGAACTGTGCAGACGGGGGAGGGGGCAGAAGGGGGTGGGGAGAGGAGAGGACAGACTTTGAACAATGCTAACTGAGCATCAGCCATGGGCTGACGTATGCAGGATTTGTTGCTATTGCTGCTGGTTGGGTGGGGGTAGGGACAGGTCTGGGTAGGATCAACAAGGTCTCTGGGAGATGGCGGGTCTAAGACGGGGAAATTTTGAAGGGTTCAGGTAGGAGAGTCTTGTGGCCAAAGAGTAGAGGATGCTGAAATTGTGCAAAGGCTTTGTGGTGCTGGGGGAGAGAAGCGGACTGGGAGACCACTGGGGGCCATTGCAGTCCTTCAGCTGAGAGATACAGTCCTGGAACAGGACCGTGTCAGTGGGTTGGAGAAATAAGAACACAGTAAGACAAGGTTTGGAGACAAGTAGTTTGGGGGAAGAGGGAGGGTGAAGAGAGTTGTAAAGAATTGGGTGCAAACCTCAGCTTGCCATTTAGTACCTTTTGAACTCAGTTTGCCCATCTACATACATATTTAATTAATATAAATGAGATCACGCACTCCATAAATAACAACTATGATGGTTAGCTTGGGGCATTGGACTGAGACTTACCAGGGTTCAATCCCCTTTACCACCAGTTACTAGCTGTGCAGTCTTGAGTAAGTCATTAACGTCCCTGAGCCTGGTTCCTCTTTTGCAGCTGGGGATAACCTGTCGTCATGGAAGTGAAACAGCACACCAGAGGGCTGGCAGAGCCTGGCACAAAATAGGCGCTCAATCAGTGGTAGAGGTATTACTATCACCAGGTAAGCCATTGAGCACAGAGCCTGGCATACAGTAAGCGCTCAGCACATGTTAATTCATGTTATAATTCATAAAGCAGAGGTCAGGAGCTGGGAATCCCGGGGCTGCCCGGCCTGCAAAGAGGGGACGTTTGCAGCTCTCCACCTCCCTGCCGCGGACACACCCATGTCCCCTCTCCAGCACCGGATCCTTCCCCTCCCACCAGCGCTTTCCGACCCCGCGGGAGGGCGTCGGAGGTGGGGGCGCGGGTAGCTCGGGTAGCTCGCCGATACTCACCCTAGCAGTCTCGGCCACGTCCAGGGGCTTCCGGAGCCACGAAGCTATCGGCGCTGCTCCGCGTCCCCGCCTCCTGCCGTAGCGGCTCGGCCAGCGCCCGCCCCAGGCATACTTTTCCCATCCCGTCATGGGCGGGAGCGTTTGGTTCCCGGTCACGTGGGCCAGCCCGCAGCTCGGAGCTCTCCTTCTGGCAGCCGCATCGGTTTGGAAAAAATTTCAGCGCTGGTGACAACTTGAGTGTGTCAATGCATGTCTGTGTGTAGAGCTTGTCAGTGTATTTGAAGGTTTACATGCACGAGAGTGATTGCTACTCAGGCGATTGCAAGGGTGTGGGTACTTGTGCCTGTGTCTCAAGAGACATCTGTATTGCTTTCACGTGAGCATTCATCTGGCTGTGGATCAGAGGATGCTTGTGGGCATGACAGCTTATAGCAGCGTAAATTCCTCGGTGTACCGAGGAGAGTGTACCGAGTTGAGAGTGATTATGAGTCGTGTGTGCATGTTTAGTTGTATGTGTGTGCATTCATAAGCGCATGTGTCCAAACGTGCATCAAGGCTCCTGTATGTGCGTTTATAAGCACATGTCCAAGATTGCAGCTCCGTGTATAACTGAAGTGTACTTCATTTGCTGGATGTACACATCAGTGGCTGGATATCTGTGTGTTGGGTACATGTTTAAATGTGTGTATGAGTGTGCACAACCACATATCAGTGTGTATGTGCATGATTTTCTGTGTGGCACCTGTTTGTGCAGTGGCTCACTTTGTATATGTACACATGCCTTGGTGTAGATTTGTCCAGATGTGAGTGTGCATGTACATAATAGTGCCCCTGTGTTCCAGCCCTCATCTCCTTCCTCTTAGAAGCAAAGGCTCACTGGCTCCACAAACTCTCTGGCCTGGAGTCAAATTGCTGAGTGTCTCAGAATAGACAGAGTGATCTGTTTAGGTTGCAAGCAGATACCGGAGGAAAGAAAAATCATAGAGGTCTGGCTTTAACTTTTTCCTGTTCTTTCCACTGTTCTTTTCTACAAGCTACCACTATTTCACTCAGCTGTCAGAGCATCTGGTTAGCAGATGATACATGACCCACATTCAGAATTTTAATGCAGGTATGCATTTGACCTCTGCGGATTCCACCACCTAAGTCAAGTTAGTACTTGATGGATGGTGTTTTATTTTCTGAAAAGTAGAGAGTAATGATTATATTATTGTATTCTCTTTCCCCCCAAAGTTGGGACACTCACCCATACAGGTGTTTGATAAGCCACTGAACTATGTAGAGAATTATTACTAACATTACATAAATATTGTCTGAGGATGAAAGTTAGTGGGCTCAACAGATATTCATTCAACAAACAGTTGATAATATTGGTTATGTGTTATGAGTTAGGTGCTGGAGATGTGGAGATAAACCAAATAGGTTTGGTGCCTGTCCTCATGGAGCTTAGAGTCTAGTAGGGGTGACACAAGTGGCTACAAGTGAAATGAGTGTTACAGAGAAGGAAAACACTGAATATAAACCTGGGTGTTCAGAGGAAGGCCTGGGTTGAGCCCTGAGGGAGAACTGAGACTTGTCTGGGAGTAGGGGAAGTAGGAGGTCTAAACAAAGGAAAGATGACCTATGAAATAGGGTTTAATGTGTTGATTCATAGATGGCTGGAAAGGGGACCTCTGTCCACCACTCCCTCTGGGTACCTTGGTTTGTTTCTACATATTTCAGGAATCAGAAAAGGTAAGGAAACCCTCCTTTGAATGATGCATGGATGCCATTCTCAACCTAAAAGACTCTAAGGTAGAGTAGGAATCTCCATGTGTTACCCATGGGGCTCCACTGCCACAGAGGTTGAAATTCCTGACACGCTCTTGTCGGTGAGGAAATGGTTAGAGAGAAGCACAGGAAGAGGCAGTGGTGCCACACTCAGTACCAGGGAAGCACTTAATGGATGTTTCCTGGCTGAGTGAATGGGAGCGGATGTTCTTCCAACTTATGGAGGAGACCTGAAACCTAGGAGCCTACTGGTGATGACTTCATGTGGCAGGAAATCCAAAAAGTTCATGAAATGGTTGTTCCAGGAGCTGCAGGAGCTGCCTGAAGCTGAAATGGCACTCAGAACTTCCTCCTCTAGCCTGTTTCTGCCTTTAATTCAGTCGGCAAACATTTGTTACCTATTATGAGTGTGGGGACAAAGAAGTGAACTTCTGGTCTATAGGGAAAATGAATCAACACAAATTGGTCTAAGAGGCATAATGCAACAAGCGCTGAAGGAAACATACAGTGTACAAAATGAGGATTTTCCTGTTTGTTTGGTTCAGTTCAATTCATTCCATAACACTATTCATGTTTGGAGAACATGCTCAGCATATTGAGAAGATGAGTGACATTGTGACATTTATGGCCATAGAGTGCTTACAAACCAGCAGGGGCAGCCATGTGCCAGGTGGGAGATTGGCTTGTTCCACATCTGTCCAAACCTTTCTTGGTGTGTCTTCCTATACTACAGAGGCTGGAAAGCTAAAAACTCACTTCCCAATGTTTCTACTGCTGGGGTTCCCATTGTAATTTATGTTTAGCCAGTCCTGTGCACTTGTGTAAACCTGAATTCAAAATTGAGTTAAGAAAACAATTGAGTCTGGGGGAAAGGAGGCATCAGTCTGAGAGGGATCCATTGTGCTGGTGGTGAGCTAGCATATGTATTATGGCCCTGGAGTGTGGGCAGTAACTCCTGGTCCCAGATTACACCCCAAACTGTGTATTCCTGTAGCTAGAGACTGGGCCGGCAACTCCCTGAATGCCAGCTTCCAGATTGTGGTAGGAATAGTAGCTTCCTTGGGGGGTCAGTACTGTGTAGTGTTCTGGGAATCATTCTCGGAGCACCAGGCCAGAACTTGCTCTGCAAGGATTCTGAATTTACTTGATTCTCTTTATTAATGTGTGTTTTCTTAAAATAGCTACAGTTGTGTGCCTTCACAAGAGCCCTGATACGTCATGCTGTGAACCACAGGTGCTGAGAGTGTCAGAGAAGGCACATGAGTGCCCCCTCTCCCCCTTCTCTCTCTGCCCCTCCTCCACTTTTTCTCTCCTCTCAAAATAAATAAATAAACATTAAAAAAAAGAGTTATGAAGGAAAAGAAGAGGGAACCGTGAACCATGGGAGAGAACAGTGGTGTAGAGTCCCATGAGAGAATTTACTTCACTGGGGGGTCTGGGAAGATCTCATGAATAGGTGACATCTGAGCTGAGTTATGAAGGATGAAAACGAGCCAGCCATGCAAAGGTGGCAAAGGAGGAGTGAGAGAGGCACAGGGCAGAAGGACCTGTATGTAAGAGCTACACTAGCTGTTCCCAACACCTTTATAATACTTCCCTGTGCAATGGTCATAGGATAAATCCTCAACCCGTCAGCCTTTCTGTAGCCTCACTAACTGGAAGCCTCTGTGGTTTGACATCTTCCTAGACACTTCTATTTTTCCTGTGTCAGGATCTCTCAATCCCTGCACTACTTACATCTGAGGCTCAGTAAGTCTTCACTGGGGGGGATTATCCTGTGCATTGTAGGATGTTTAGCAGGATCTTTGTCTTCTACTCTACAGATGATAGCAGCAATCCTTCCACCTCCAGTTGTGACAGCCAAAAATATCTCCAGACATTGCCAAATATCCCAAGGTGGGTAAAATCGCCCTCCATTGAGAACTACTGCCCTATGGGTAGCTCTTCTTTGGTCAGAGTCATCTTTTTGCAGACTCCCAACTACTCCTTCAAGTTTTATGTGTCTGTACCTCCATTTATGCAATTCCCTCTAACTAGCACCCCTCTTCTGCCTCTCCACAACTTTACCCATATGTCTACTAGAGATTCATGGCTTTTACCTGCCCATTATTCCTCTGTCCATTGGGGAATTCTATTTGGGTGATTCTCATGTGTATTGGGCAGTAGAGAAAAAGTGGTCCATCTTAGTACTCTCCCTGCCCTCTAGCTGCAGGGGCAGGGGAATGTGGACCAGGTACCCCTTCCTTTTGTGCCCAGTTAAAAGTCCAAATGGTGGGCATGAGACTCAAGCAGAGATAATCAGTCTTTCCATGTGATTTCTATAAAGGAGTACTGCTTTTCTTTTTAATTGTTAATTGTAAGGATACAGCCCTGGGCTGCACTAGCCATTTTTTCTGCCATTTGGAGGGAGCCTGCTTGAAGGAGGAGTCAATGACATCAATATACAAATAGAAGCAGATGTAAGAACTGAAAGATGGGAGGAGTGCTCTGACTACATTATTGAAAACCTTTGTGCAGATATTGTGCTACAACATTCACATTCTCACATTCTCTTTCTTTAAGCTGGTGTGAATTGTTCCTGTCACTTACCATGGGAAGACTCCTACAGCACTATCCTTCAGTGCCTACTTCAAATCTCTTCTCTTTCTTAATTTTTTTTAAATGTTATTTTTGAGAGAGACAGAACACAAGTGGGGGAGGTGCAGAGAGAGAGGGAGACACAGAATCTGAAGCAGGCTCCAGTGTCTGAGCTGTCAGCACAGAGCCCAACACGGGGCTCAAACTCACAAACCCCAAGATCATGACCTGAGCTGAAGTTGGATGCCCAACCAACTGAGCCACCCAGGCATCCCCAAATCTCTTCTCTTTCATGAAGGGCCTCTCAACACAGAACAGTCTGAAGAAAATGCTTTCTTTGAATTCCTAACTAGTGGTTAGCCGGAGACAGCAACCAATTCTGTGCTTCCCTTTCCAATTCTGAGTTAAGTGACATATCTTAAGTTTGTAATTGTCATAATGGGAATAATTACAAGACAGAAATCAGCAAAGGCTAGAAATCAAGACTCTCTTCCTTCAACCCAGCCTGCAGCCTGATTACCAGCACACCACTGTCTAAATGTCTTCTCAACAGATTTATGAAATCTCTTGCCTTTTCAATATGGCGAACTTGGGAGAACAAGTGCCCCTGAGCTACACTGCATCTGAATCTTCAAAGGAGGGAAGGTCCTGAGGAATAATTTGGTCTTTGGTTTTCATTTCATTTCATGTCTTCATGCAGACAAAGAGGGCAGAGTCCTTCAGTGACTTGTGGTAGTGAGTTGTGGAATCAAGACAAAGAAAG